TAACCTTGTTTGCCAAAACTGAGGAGGACCTGAAGTGTTTGCTGCAAAAGGTCAAGGGCTATAGTTTTCACTAGGGATTAAAGCTCAACATCAAGAAGACAAAGATTCTCACCACTTGGCCAATTGGCAGCACCACAATAGATGGAGAAGAGAGAGAGTTTAACAATTTCAGGCTTGCTTGGATCCACAATCCACTTGGCACCAGCAGCCAGGAAATCAAAAGACAAATAGGATTGAGGAAATCTACTGTCAGGGACCTAAAGTCCTTTAGGACCAAAGTCCTAAAGAAAAATGATGTCAGTCTAGGCACTAAGGTGTGCCTGATCCAGGCCATGGCCTTTGCAATTGATTGCTATGCACCAGAGAGCTGGACAATGACAAAGGATGACAGAAGAATTGATGTCTTTGAGTTGTGGTGCTGGAGAAAAGTATTGAACATACCATGGGCCGCCAGAAGAAAAAATAGTTCTGTTTTGGAGAGAGGGAAACCAAGTTTCTCCCTGGAGGCAAGTATTTTGAAGCTCCTTCTAACAAACTTTGGATACGTGGCCAGGAGGAACCAGTTCTTGGATAAGGACATCATGCTTGTAAGGGTGGAGGGACAACGTAGGAGAGGAAGACTCCAGATGAGATAGATTGACATGATAACCAGGGTAATGGGGTTAGGTGTGTCAGAGTCAAAAAGACTGTTTCAGGATAGGGCAGGGTTTACAGCTACTGTACATTTGGTCATTATGAGCTGAAACCAACTTGATAGCACATAACACCAAAAATAATTCTGCATATTTCTATGTATTTTCCCCCTTATTTATTCATTGTTGCATATTTTTCCTTCTCCACATATTTTATGTTGTTGTTGATTGCCATCGAGTCGACTCATAATGATCATATGAACAAAAGACCTGAAGCTTTTCTGTAACTATCAACATTTATCAAAGTTCATAGAGTTTCCAGAGGCATGTTGTTTAGGAAGTGGATACCACTCCTGCTTCCAAACATATTTTATATACTATACATTTCTTTCAAATCTGAATCTTGAAAGAGTTCACAGTCAATTTTTAAAATACAATGTTAGGTAAAGAGGTTCAGCTTTCACTCTCTAGGCTTCACTCTTTCCGGGGGAGGGGAAAAAAAGGCTTCAACAAGAGGCCAAAAAACCCATAAAATGACTATTCTACCTTAATAATTCCTAGAGTTAAGAAGATCGATAGTTTCTTGTGTTATCAAGAGAGATAAATTCAAGAGTTATTTAAAAGCAATAATTTAATTGTAGAATCAGACACAATAACAATGGGGAAAACATAGGTCTTTTTTTAGAATTTTTTTCTCAAAAGTCAAGACTTTAATTTTTGAAGTACTTAAAAAGACCAAAGACTTAAGAGAGGGAAGTTACTTCCTGCCCAGAAGCTTGAAGTGGAGGAGTCAGGTGTACTCATATCGAGCACAGGGCTACACTCAGCAGGTTCTGTGGACACAGCCTTTACATGGATTCCCACTCACCAGAACATCCTGTGTTTAGAACTGTTTTCCCCACCCTCAAAAAAACCCCAAACTATTGCATAGGGTTTCTTGGTGGTTTAGTGGTAAGCAGTTGCATGGGCATGTGGATCCAATTCATCAACTTTTCCATGGGGAAAAGATGGGCAATCTCCTCCTGTGTTATTTACAACCTCTAAAAAACTCACTGGAAGGTCAGTTATGAGTCTGATCTGACTCCATGGTATACAACAACAACAAAAGCAACATTCTTTACAGAAGAGTGCCAGACCTTTCTACTGTGGCAATACTGAGAACATCCAAACTCTTCAAATGCTAACTATCTGTGTCACCTATGATCTTACAAATCTAAAATTTCTGAAGATTCTTTTAATCTTTCTGTGTAACTTGCACAGCAGCTACTTGCTTAAGGACTTCCTGAGGACATTAAAATTCAGAAAAATAGGTTTAATCCTTTATTGTCACAAGCAAAAAAAAAAAAAGCAACTTCCTGTGTGATTCAAGTTATTGTTGTTATGTGTCATCGAGTTGCTTGTGACTCATCACAACCCTGTGTACAACAACAGTAAACCCTGCTCTATGCTGTGCCAATCTCATTGCCTCTGATACACTTACCCCCATTACCTCAGTCACTGAAGCAAACCATCTCATCAAGGGTCTTCATCTCTTGCACTGTCCCTCTAACCTCCCAAGCAATATGTCTCTCTCCAAGGACTGGTCACTTCTTGCAACATGCCCAAAGTATGTCAGACAAAGCTTCAGAATCCTTGCCTTCAAGAAGCAGGCTGATTTCACCCTCTCTAGGACAAATCTGTTTGTTCTCCTAGAAGTCCATAGTATATTCAATACTCTTCTCCAGCACCACATCTCAAAGGCATCAATTCTCCTTCTATCATCCCTAGTCATTGTCTCACACTCTGATGCATAGCAAGTAATTGCAAAGACTGTGTTCTGGATCAGGCGCACCTGCACCTTAGTCTCCATACTGACATCATTGTTCTTCAGTATTTTGGAGAGGTCTTTGACAGCAGACTCTCCCAGTGCAATTTGTCTTTTAATTTTCTGACTAGTGGTACCAAGAGTGTTGATTGTAGAAGACAAGAAAACTGAAGCTGTTAACAATCTCAATCTCTTCATCCATCACCTATGATGCTGCAAATCAGGCCAGTGGTGAAAATCTTTGTAAATCCAAACAAAAACCCTCTGGTTTGAACTGCTTCAAACTGTGTTAAGCGGTTGGAAAAGGACAGTCTTGGCACCAGCAGCCAGGAAATTAAAAGGCGCATTGCCATGGGAAAGTCTGCTGTTAGGGACCTCTCCAAAGTGCTGAAGAGCAATGATGTCTCTTTGGAGACTAAGGTGCGTCTGATACAGGCCATGGTCTTCGCAATCACCTGTTATGCATCAGAGAGTTGGACAACGACCAAGGAGGATAGAAGGAGAATTGATGCCTTTGAGCTGTGGTGCTGGAGAGGAGTATTGAGAATACCATGGACTGCTAGGAAAACAAACAGATTTGTCCTGGAGAGGGTTAAATCGAGTGGCTCCTTGGAGGCAAGGATTCTGAGGTTCTGTCCGACATACTTTGGACATGTTGTGAGGAGAGACCGGTCCTTGGAGAGGGACGTCATGCTTGGGAGGGTGGAGGTGGATTGATTCAGTGACTGGGATAATTGGGATGGGAGTGTCAGAGACAGTGCGATTGGCACAGGACAGAGCGGAGTTTAGAGCTGTTGTACATAGGGTCGCTATGAGTCGCAGGCGACTCGAGGGCACATAACAACAACAACTAATGAAGTACAGATCTCTTACCTTCCTGAACATTGGCCCGGGTGCTTTTAACTTCCTCTTAACTCTTCTCATAGAGGAAGTTGCTGGGTCATTTGGGGGAAAGGTGTTTAGGTTGTTGATTTCCCCTCCCTTTGAATCATGGCAAATTCAAACAATTTCTTTTCCCAGGAAGGGTAGAATGAGGTTGCCCAGCCCAGTTAAGCATATTTTGCCATTCTAGGCCGTATCTGAGCAACGCCCAATTTAAAAGACGGCTTGAAACTCGCCATTGTCAGGATGTAAGACACCGCAAATCTAACAACGTCCCTGCACAATTTCCAAACTTTATTCTTGTTTTTCAAGGACGCTTTCTGATTTGGATCTCACACCTCCGTTGTTATATAACGTTCTGCTTCCACTTTTTTCTAATAAAAAAGTAACAAAACTGGCAGAAAAGACAAAAATAGGGATTGTCTGGACGTAGGACTGTCCCATTAGTTTGGAAGGGCGGAAAGCTCGGTGAGCGCACTGCAGCACACAGGTCGCGGATGCCCACCCACCAACCTTGGGGATGACAGATCTGGTGCCAATTCCTCTGAGAGCTGGGGCTGTGGGTGGGCGGGGCGGGGCGCCCGGGGGCGGGACCAGGACCCACGTGATGCGCTCGGGGGCGGGCCCGCGCGCGGGGACGGGGACGAGCCCGCGGAATCGGTGGGCGGCGCAGTTCTCGCCATGTCGTACCCCGGGCATCCAGGCGCGGGCGGAGGAGGCTTCTACCCCGGCGGGGTAAGTGCGGCCGGGGCGTGACCCCGGAGCTACGGGGGCGCCGGGAGGCCACACTTGGCGGCGGGCGCGGAGGCGCTGCTGGGCGGCTTCGCGGTGCTTCCTCGTCCGGCCGCTCCCAGCCGCTCGCAGCCGGCTCTCCCCGCCCGCTCGCAGCCGCTCCCTGCCCTCTCCCTCGCCCCGGGGCCCCGCGGGTTGTCTCATTCTCCCTCGCTCTCCTTCCTCCATTCTCCTCCCGAGGGGCCCCGGGTGGATCGTGACCCGGGACACCCGCTGTGTGACTTTCCCACTTTGCAACATTAAAACTGTCCAGTCTGGGTGTTGGTTTCCTGCCCCACGCCCTCTGTGCTTCCCCTGAAAACATCAGCCATGTTAAGGCAGGATGGTCGGGAGAACCGCCTCCCTGCCTTTAAACGAAAGTGAGACGGGGAGGAAGAGTGAGGTAGAATCTGCTAGCGTAAGAGTCCTCGGGCGTCCGGGATGCGCGTCGCCCTGGGAACCGTTTCCAGGGCAGCTGCTTCGCCCCATCTCAGTGTCTCGCCCCGAAATTCAGGTCGGCCGGGGACCTTTTCCCGGGCTCTGTCGGTTCACAGTCCTTTCACCAAGGCCAGCCTTGCAAACCTCTTAGAACTCTTCTAAAGTGTCGTACTTTTTTAAAAAAGGAAAGGACTTCCTGTTCCTGAGTTGCTTGCGTGGTTGCAGTCATCTCAGTAACATGGTACAGAGGATTGTTAAAGTTGCTTCACTTAAGCTGATCTTAATTTCATGACATCACACACATTTTGGTCTAAGTTGTCAGTTTCTGAATTGAAGAAGAGTTGGGTGATCGGTCGTGGGGGGAGGTAAAGAAGTGAAGAGCACACGGTTGCCTGGCTCTGCACCAAGTGATGAATGAATCAATCGATTCAGCAGAATGATGCTTATGTGTGTGTGTGTGTACTGTTCTACAGTATGGAGGTGCTCCCGGCGGGCCTGCATTTCCCGGACAAACCCAGGACCCGCTGTACGGTTACTTTGCTGCTGTAGCTGGACAGGTTCGTTTACCCTCTGGTTTAAAAACATACCAGTTCTGCATTTCCATTTGTTACATTGTTAGGTGTCCTGGAGTGTACTAGGACTCATAACAACCCTATGAACAACAGATCTGAACCTTTTGTGATAGTGGTGCCATCAAAAGAACTTTCTTTTGGAAATTAATCCCTTTGCTTTTGCAAAAGAAAGAAGAAAATTGACAGTCAGCAATTCACTTGGGAGCATTCAGAACAAATCGTGGCATTGTACTTATGTTGGTTCATTTCCAAGCCATACTTGTGGTTGAATGAAATCTAGTGTGAATAGAATAGGGAATTATAAACATCCTGTGCAGATATGTAAGGTAGGAAGGTGTTTTTATAACTGAGTTTTCATGATGCATGCTGGTTTCAAAGGAAAACATTCAAGATCTGATGAACATAAACTTCTGTTTGTACAATTTAAAGAAATACATTCATGACTGTGTAGCCAGATTCTAAGGGATACATTTATTAAGGTTAAATTTGATTGTTCATCAGTTTCTCCTTTAGGGAATAGATAAAGCCCTACAGCTTCTAAATAAGACCTTTCTTGCTTTTTTTGTATTATCCAGAAGTTAATCTTGTGAACTGCTCTGTTTCCTTTTGGTGCAGTTGCTGTATCAGCTCTTTTATGTCCTTATAAGGCAGTGTGGTCTAGTACACTAGATAGAGAATTAGGGTCAGCTCCTCCACAAGATCTTTCACTTCTCTACCTTTTGAGATGTGAGACAGGAGAATCAGTCTCATCTTGCTTTACTGTGAGGGAGGACACTGCCCTTACTTCATGAGGTCATGGGCATGTTATTTACGACTGTGTACAGTATATACACTCTTGCTATAACACAGACATTAAGATGTTCTTAGGCATCCAGCTTGTTTTTGTTATGATCAAAAGCTAGAAAGAACAAGATCCTAATATGAAAACAGCTATGAATCAGCTTGAGGGTGGTGAGTTTGGTGAGTTTTTGGTCTTGTTTTTAAATGTACAAATGCCATTGACTATTGTGGGGTGAAGATGTAAGACCACCTTATAAAATACTACCATAAGAAATACACTTTGTGACATTGAATGGAAAATTGAGTCTAAAACTGGAGGAGCTTCCCTTAAGTATCTACTTAATCTGCTAATGATCTGTATCTTTGAAACCACAAGAAACACAGAACCTCAAGCCTAGCATTCTTAGATTGCCTTTGCCTGCCACTGGTAAGTGACCCCATCTGCTTAGCTTTCAGCAGCCCTGGACTATATTTAGCAAGCCCATCGCCATTCAGTTTATTGGCCCTGCTCCTTCACTTGTAATTCCTATGCATTTAAGGATCTAGGTGTTTTATTTTGGAATCCCTAGGAAAATGACTTCTCTCGCTAGTTCTGCCATAGCTAGTTCTGGGGAGGGCTCTGGGAGAGAGGTTTGTACCTTTCAGATATAATGATGTTGAAGTAAATAAACCATTCACCAAATCAGAAGAAAAAATGATCAAGGCTTTCTCTGTGTGAACTAAGTTTTGCATTCACTGTCATCAGTGTATCCTGGAAAAGATAAACCACACAGTATAAACACCTTTCCTAGAAAGATTGGAAGATTGAAATAACATTTTTAAACACTCATGAAAATAATTTTAACATGCTTATTAGCTTTCAAAGTTTCAACTAGCTGAGACCAAAAATTGAGTTCTTACCAAGACAGAAATTAGGTTTATTCATGCATTCTTACTTGTGTTTTATTGGCTAAACATAACAAACTACGGAGCATAACAAATTATGGCTAATATTGAGAAGAATGGGAATTAATCCCAGAACACGTAACATAACAAAGCATGAAATTTGGCTAACATTGACAAGAATGGGAATCCCAGAATACTTACTTATGCTAATGTGAAGCCTATACGTAAAACAAGAAGCAGTTGCCCCAGTAGAACAAGGGTATATACTGCATGATTTAAAATCAGGAAAAGTGTGTGTCAGAACTTCATGCTTTCTCCACACATAGTCAATCTGTATGTGGAGTAAATCATTCAAGAAGCTAGACTATATGAAGAAGAATGTGGCCTCAGGATTAGAGGTCAACATTGTTATGCAGATAACACAACCTTGCTTGTAGAAAGTAAAGAAGACTTGAAGCACTTAATGCAGAAGATCAAAGACTACAGCTTTCAAAATTGATTATATCTCAACATCAAGAAAACAAAAATCCTCACTGCTGCCATCAGTGGGCAGCCATTATGCTCTGTGGAGAAAAAAGATTTACGTTGTTAATGATTTTCTTTTGTTTGAACCTATATTCAACACCTGTGGTGTCAGTAGTTAACAAATCAAAAGATGTGCTTATTGGGAAAATCTCCTCTCAGGGACATCTTCACAAAGAGCAAGGATGGCCCTTTAGTGCACCTGGTTCAGGTCATGGTGTTTTTAACTGCTCCTTATGCATCTGAAAGTTGGACAGTGGATAAAGATAACTAAAGAATTGCTGTCTTTGAATTGTGGTGTTGGAGAAGAATACTGACTATCCCACAGACTGCCAGCACAAGAAAGAAGTCTGTCTTAGGGCAAGTACAGCCAGGGTGTTCATTAAAGGCAAAATGCAGAAACCTTGCCTCACATAATTTGAGTATGTGGTCAGGAGGGAAGAAAGATTTCATGCTGGGAATAGGGAAGGGTCAAAGAAGTTAGGCTGATCCAGTGACTTTAACCATCTATTAATAAGGTAGTGCTGGAAGCCGAAGATGATCATACAGCAGCACATGATATAGCCAAGGAAGAAACTTTGATTTCACTTTTGTGGTTTTGTTTGGGTTTTTTCCCCTTCATTAAAAGAAGACCTTTTGCTTTGGGCATGTTGCTAGGAGAGTCTATTCCTTGGAAAAGAGGACAGTCAGTGAAAAGAAGGAAGATTCTCAATGAAATGGATTGACCTTTACTGCAGCAATGGGCTTAAGTGTGTCAGAAATAAAAGGATGGCACGGGATAGGACAGGCTTCAGATCTCTTGTTCATAGAGTCACTTTGCGTCATGCTCTGATGGCACCAAACAACAATGTTGCCAACCCTAATTCAAGAACCCGGCATAAGCAGGAGCAGATTACCCATGTGAAGCTGGTTACTACAAATATTAGTAAGCACAAGTAATCTCGTGCTTGACTTGCTTCCTGAGCACTCTTTTTCTGTCAGGAACAGTGGATTTGAAAAGAGGGTTGGATTCGGTAGGAATGTGCCATTGAGTTCAGAGAGAGACCAATGCCAAGCATACTTAGAAGCAGAACCTTTGATGTAATAAAATGTGAAGCTGTTTACCCTGCCTTCATAAGCAAACTCATGCTTACCTTTGCTTATTCAATAATCCCAGCTTTAAGTAAAGAAAATGATGGAAAGATACTTGTAATATTAAAGTGCAAAACTAAGCAACATTCACACTGTATTAATTTTCATATAATAATTATATATGATGCCTCCTGAAACTGAATGCTTGCTTTGCTCTACAATTGAGAACTATATTTTGTTGTTGTTGTTGTTTATATTCCTAATTATTCATTTGTGTAAAAGGACCTAACAGTTTTATAACGTTCTTTGATCATGAAATTATTTTTGGAAGCAAATGAGAAAAAGAATGTCCACTATTAGAAGGCATTCTTTAAGAAAGCACCTCATTGTAAGCATTGATTGGCGTTTCTTTGATATTTTTTTTTTTGTATTGAATACTGAAGGTAATCCCAGAATCAGATACTAATCATTGTTGTAATCCTTTCTGTTCTTTGTCGCCACAAAAGGATGGGCAGATAGATGCTGATGAGTTGCAGAGATGTCTGACCCAATCAGGCATTGCTGGAGGATACAAACGTAAGTTGACAGTCACCAGGGTTCTCTAAAAGAACTTCCGTGTTTCCTACTGGAGCTGTTACTTGTGACAATTGCCATCAAGGAAACAAGGCTTTTCTGATCCAGCAAAGTTTACAATTCCCAGAGGTAACTGGATTATTTATTATCTCACAATACTAATTTGAAGACATCCTTAATAAATCATTCCACTCTGCCCACCAGTTTAATGGATTTTTTGCACATGAATTCGGTATGCCTGGAGACATTCGAAGCAGGGAGACAGTTCATATGGCCTCTTTAATAGAGAAGCAGTGAAGGAAGTGAAATGCAATCTGCCAGCTCTGGTGTCATTAATGACAGGACCTGACATTTACTGCGAATTGTCTGCCAAGAGCCAGCTTTGATCACAACCTGGTGGAATTTAAAGCATTGAGTGACAGTCCCACATTCCTCGTCCTGAGTGACTGGTTATAATCTCTTAGCTCCAGGTATGTCCTGGCAACATGGCTGCTTATGTAACGTCCCCCAGGTCTTTCCTCTCCACAGGATGTGTTCAGAGAAGTAGGATCCTGCTTTCTGAGCTCCACCTTCTCCTTTTCGGTTTCCTCCCTGCTGGAGCGCATCAACCTCCTGAGCCCTTACGCCCGCGTCCTGCCAGGGCTGCAGATCGGGAAGTAGCACCCGCGCACTGCAGCGGGACTGGGACTTCTCGCTCATCATCCCACACATGCTTCTCGTCGCTTCTCCTCCAGTCAGATAGTGAACAGGACACATTTTCAAGAAACACTAGCAGCTGAGCTGCCAACTTATTTTGCCAGTTGTTAATTTAGACAGAACATCATACTGAACTACTGTTTCATACTAAGCTGTGAATGAAAATGCCGCTGCTCACACTTTAGGATACACTAGTATTTTTCACCATTTTGTAAGGTATTTATTAGCTAACTTGGAGTTCTTGTTTCTTCTATTTCCTTTCTTTGCTTTTGATATGATTTCATGAGGCTAATAATATTTTCTAGTTGGAATTAGTACAGAAGTGGAATCTTGCATTTCTGTCATTTTCTATAGTCCTGAACACAACTGCCGCAATGGGTTCAAGTGTGTCAGAAATGACGAGGACACACAGACTAGGACAGGCTTCAGATCACTGTTCAGAGGGTCACGATGAGTCATACTCAACTCAGTGGCTCCTAACAACAAAAAGAAAAAAAAGAAAAAACAAACCCTCTTTCTAAATTAAGATCTTTTTAAACTGTTGTCAACAACATATTCAGGTTATAATTTGTTAACCTGGAATGTTTGGGCTTATGAACAAGGATGCAGAATTTACAGAGTTATCATAACAGGGACTATTATTCTGTGCTTTTTGGTGCTGGAGAGGTAACAGATATTAAAATCTGACACAGTAAATTGTGTATCTTTAGAGAATAATCCTTTTGGAAGTTTTATTTGAGGAAGTTACATTTAGTGAGTAGTATACAAGACCTTAAGTGTTACTCATTCATTATATGTGTGTATGTTGTAGATTGCTACATTATATAAAAAACTCATTGCAGACCCTCCAGCGGGGTTTTGGAGGCTGTGACCTGAATGAGAGGAGATTGCCTGTCTTTCTTCTGTTGAGCCACCAGAGGATTTAAACTGAGAGAGGCACTGGTTTAGCCATGCCTTCTCTGTCCACTAGGCACCAGAGCTCCCTCTGTGTGTATAAGACACTGTAGTTGTATTTGTTTACTTAATGTCGTCCAGTGGCGAATTATTTTTCAGGAATACAGTGTAGGCTGTAACGAACCCCAGCACTTACCTTTGTGTTGGCAGTTGTTATTCCTTACCCTTAAGCCACCAGGGAGCTCTGGTGACTTAGCATAAGGAGTTATTCTACCAACACAGAGGCACACAGTTAGAATCTACCAGCAGCTCTGTGGGAGAAATGTAAGATTGAGTGCCTCTGAAAACCCGCTAGAGGGTTAGCTATGAGTCAGTTCTGACTTGAAGGCACAGACCACTACCACCAGTCACTAGAGCTCCCTGCCCTACAAACAGGCTTGTTAATGTGCTTAAAAGGAAGCAGTCATACATAAAAATAAGGTTGAGGAAGGAAGTTGTTCTAGCCCATAAGAAAGTAATTCAGCTTTTCTTAATTGTCTTGAATTTAGTTGTTCTTTGTTAAAGTTGGAATAAACCACTGGAAGTAGGACTTTTCCGCTACATCCTTTACATTGTCTTTCTAAGACAATCTAGTACAATGAACAGGGAAGAAGAAAACAAAAATAAACTATTTAAAATATGTTTGAAATATGGAGCTATTTAAACTAGAGCTGTTTGGGGATTAAAAAACAAAGTGGAACAAACTCTTTCCTTACCCAAACTTAATAGACCTGAATGTTCTAGGTAATGGGAACTCTATGGTGATGTTTCAGTTTGTTCACTGCAGCTCTCATTCAGTCCCCTTCAGCTCCCCCTCAAAAAAGACAACACTTCTACCTGCTCACAACTGTCAGCTCTCCTCAAACCCCCTTCAGTAGCTCCTCGGAGCCTCAGATTGCACAGCTTGTAGGATCTGGAGATGCTCTGTGAATCAGCTGTCTAATCATGGTTTCTCCCACTTGCCTTTGGGCTCTCTGCAAGTCGGAGGAGCCGTCATAAACCTTTTATCTGCCTGGCCTTCCTGCTTCTTCCTTACTTGTGCTGGTCCAGATTTCCATTGGGAAGGCTGTTAACACATGTCCACACCTCTCCTGCAGTCTGTAGAAAACTCTCGTTGCCATCAAGTTGGAACTCGCTCATAGCTGACCTGCTATTTCATTTCTCAGATGGTAAATCACATAGGGAAAGATTGCCCATCTCTCTCCCACAGACTTTTAGTCATGGTTTAGCTTAAATGCTACCTTTTTGTTAAAATCTTTTCTCATCCTTTCACTGAGAAGGATCCTCCCTTCAGTACTTCCTTGAGCTGTTTTGGTGCCTCCTTTCTAACTTGCCGCTCTCTACTGTCTTTAGGGCTGTACATATACATGATTTAGAATCTTTAAACCATTAGCTATGGCAAGGTATAAGTTTTCCTTTGTATCTCCCAAGTTTCTCGCACTCTAAACCTTGCCCATCAAATTTATTCCACTGCTACTAAGTCGATTCTAACTCATAGTGACCCTCCATCAGGATTCGGAAGCTGTGTAAAGATTATGTAACGATGTATCTTTACAAGACAAGACTACCCACCCAGAAGAGTAGTGGGTGAATTCAAACTTCTGACCTTTCAGTTAACAACCCAACATAACTGTGCTCTTCCATCAGGGCTCTTTAAGCCTGCTCAGACTAATTACTTAGGAGGGATTATTAGGTGGAATGCATGACTGTGAAGACTTTCCTAAAGGGTAGTAGCTTGTCTCAAAAGGAGCAAAAATAGCTGCAAGCACCCATTTGTAAGACCATACAATGATCAGTCTGAATCTAGGAAAACTAGAAGTTGTCAAAAATGAAATTAAACAAGTAAGGATCTATATCCTAGGCAATTGTGAGCTAAAGTGGACTGATACTGATCATTCTGAGCTGCAAATCATACGGTCTACTATGCCAGACTTGACAGGTAAAAAATGTCTTATTTATCATCAGGGATCATTTCAAGATCTGTCCTGAAGTAGCACTGTCAGGGCTAAAATAATGTCCATACCCATACAGGGAAGAGCAGTTATTACAGCTACTATTCAGATTTGCATATCAACCATTAATGCCCAAAATTAGGAAATTGGGCATTTCTACCAACTTCTACAGTCTAAAATTGATCAAACATGGAGTCAAGATGCAGTAATGATTTTTGGTGATTTTAACATAGAAGTTGGGAAGAAGAAAAAAGGAGCAGTAGTTGGAAAATATGGATGACATTGGTGATACAACAGTCTGGAGATCACATGGTGGAATTTGCAAGATGAGATTGGAATCATTGAAAAGATCTTATTTTTAAAAACCTAAATAGCAGTTACACACGGTAGGAAACACAGGGACCTGCTAGACTTCATCTGTGAAGAAACAATGGAGATGCCCAGCATCAGCAGTGAGAATAAGTTCAGGGACCCACAGCATCACTTGATTTCTTTTAACATGTAAGTAGGTTTCTTGGTGTTTTATTTACTGATGCTTAGGTAGATTAACCAATGGGTACGTCCAGAGCGGCGTTGAGCTTGTGTGGTCCTGTGGGGAGGGAGTTGTGTTACCATCGCAAAGCAGGCGGTTCCAGGTCACCAGCTGCTCCACAGAAAGACGGGCATTCCCCCTCACATTCTAGTTAGAGCCTCCTTAGAAGGTCAGCTGAGAGTGGCTTCCAGTGAGTGAATGAATGGTTGCTACCTGAATGAAATGCCACACCCATTTGAACTGTTGAGTGAAACGGACATGTTTCTGAGCTTGGTCATTCCTGAATGGTTCTTTGGGTCTCACCCAAGAGCTCTCCTATTTAACACACAATTTTAACAAACCTGAGTGGTTTGGAGAAGGTTGGGCAGTTTCTGCCAATTCAGATTTACACCCTCAGAAGCCTAATAGAGGGTTGTCATGAGCCAGAACCCACTGGCTGCAGTGAGTTCATGTTGGATGGAAAACATTACAGTCAATTGGACTAACTCTGTAGCAGTATTATAAAAAGCAAGATAATATCATACCTTAAAATATAGGCTATTTTAAACATATCTACGAATTGACTTAAATATAGTGAACTCCCACACACCCATCACTTGGCTTCAGCACTTACGTGCTGCCAATCTTGTCTCATCATTAATCTTACTTTACTTTGAAGAAAATCTTGTTTATTTCACCTGCTAATATTCAGTATACGCTTTTCTAAAAGATAACAATACATTTTTGCCTAATTACAAAACAGTAGTCATACTAAAGAACTGTTGAGAATACTATACAATGTATTTTAAAGAACTTTTATTAAAATGTCATTAAATTTGGGTTTTAGAAGGAATCCTCTATATGAAAAAAATAATCCACTTTGAAACTCCATAGAATTTGGTTACACATAATTTGAGTAGCGAGTAAAAGTACGTGACTAGTAGCATTTTTTTTGTACTACTACAAAAGTTTATTGAACAAAAATTAATATGAAGAATGTATAAAGCTTGGTTTTTTGGGTTTTTTTTTAAATTTAGGTTGTTTATTTTTCATTTCAATGAACATCTAC